TCGTTGTGAGCCATGGTGCCCCACGTCCTGTGTTGCATTTACAGCGATCCTCGTACAGTCTCCGTCTTATTTTACGGTCGCGCTCGCCCACGAGCATAAACGTGCCTCATGAATGGCGGTTTTCGTAAAATGCTAATTTTATTTGTGTGGTGCCAGGTTTTGTGCTTTCTTTCTCTTTCACGTAAATGTTTAGTCTATTTACTTAACGTTTATTCGATCCGCTACCGTCGGCAAAACCCGCACTTACCAGCGTGGTGAAGTATGGTCAAATAATTTCCACAACCCGCACGGCTTGGGGGGAGGACGTAAAGTAAATTGACAAAAGGGGGGCAACTGTAGAAGTACAATAGTTCTGGTGTTCGTATAAGTAGAAACATTTTTACATGAAAGAAATGGAGACCTTTTGACCTAATCGTTCATGCCTAATGATGGAAACAAATTCACCTCTCAGTTGTTGTAAAACTATTATCCACCACAAGAAAGCTCTTTTCATGAAATGTTTTGGTCAAATAGCATTGCACGAAACTAAGGTAAAAATGGGCTTTTGTGTGCTGTATGAAGGCTTTCGTACGTGAGTAGACCTTCATCAACATCGGATTGACAAAGACCGATAATGGTGATGATGGCTTCAGGCTGCATTAATGAGACAGCTTCAGATCTACTGTGACTTCCTCATTAAAGGATGATGCAACCAAAGAGCAAGCAGCTCTCCCCGAGTAGACAGCACTGTGGCTGTCCCGCCCGAGTTTGAAGCTTCCCTAATGAGAAGACGGACTCTGAGTGATGTCACTGCGTCAATGTAATAAAATGTACAGCGTGTCATTGGTGGTATTGTAGAGAGTACCATAAAGCAAAGCTTAAAATTTAGGTTAGACAAAATGGAACACGCAGCCCCGGCTTTTCTCTCCAACAGGGGTGCGCGATGCCTATGGTATGAGATAAAGCCAATGAGTCAATTTTATACGGCCCGTTGCCACATGAGACTGGCACATTATATTTATCCATCGCTGCAAGAATCTTAGCTGCATGTTTACTTCGGAACTGCGACCTAATATAATTATCAATGCGTCAGAGGAAAGCACATGCAGGCATCGTGTTAGCGTGTTAAGATGAGACCAAGTTCTTTTTCACATTATTATATTTGGGTGATGCTGATCTATGTACTCATGTGTGCTCGCCCATCAAATGGTATTTGAAAGTCATATTTGGCCCTCGGTAAAGGAAAAAAGGCTCCATACTCCTGGCATGAGTTGCATGAAACAACTCGAGTAGAAAATTGCCTGCGGGCCAGCATCATTGAAGGGAGATTTCCACCTAAGGTGTTTATGCAGCTGGCCGCTGGCCTACAAGGTTGAAGCTGATGTTTAGGACTTGTGTCTTTCAGCTCATTCGGTTTTCACCGTGTGTTGTTTACCGCGCGTTGTTGTTTTCCGTCGCAGTTTCCGCTGAGCCATGGTCAAACTGACACCTGATAATTCTCCACATGCAGCCTGGCTCTTAGTTTCTAAAAATAGTTCCGCTAATAGATATTGATGGTGAATTACAATTCGTTTATGAGTTATTCCATTACGTGACCCGAGCTACAAATAACCAAATGGATGCTTCCTCATTTAACTGCAAAGTGCTCTCAAATCCCAACTTTTGGGTGCCTTCCACCGTTGCGCTGGGACAAAGAAAAGATTAATAGAAGGGCACAGCATTCTGCCCTTTTAAAGCTAGACGCTTGCTCCCTTTGGCTATACTTTACTGCCTTTTGTCATTTGCACGTTGTGTTGAAAATAGGAAAAAAATTCCCAGCGTTTTTGCAGCATCCGTGCCATTCCTGTTTCATTCTTGTTCAATTATCTACCAGAAGTGTGGAGTTCCTCCCCTCCTGACCTCGCTGATACCACCATTGTCCCAGTTTATTGCTTTCAATTCTGTCTCCAGAGAGTTCTGTCTTGAATAATGACAGGGAGGTAATCGGTGAGATTTGGGGCGGTGAAATCAACTCCTGTGCAGGTGCCAAGTGGATAATCACGTCGCACGCTCGTGATAGATGTCGACGGCTCGGGGAGGCCTTCAACCAAAAGTTGATTGGTCGTGGCTGATGATGTCGACGGTGATTGTTTAATCTTGGTAACAGTGCATACATAGGCATCAGTATTTAGAAAATAACAAGCAAAAATTTCAGAGGAAGAGCACGCCAGCGTGCAGCACAGAATATTAACAAAGGTTCTTGCAGTCAATGGTGGACGAGGAGCGATGGTCTTGCGGTGCGCTTTGGTGTTGACAGTGCGGTGAAGGGAGTTGGCAGCGGTGGTGGTGGGGTGCGCGAGGGGCAGCGGCAGACTATGCCGTGCCCCTGCCTGCGGATGGGCAGAGAGTGCCGGTAATTGTCAAGCTTCTGGCAGAAGAGTGGGGGGACAGGAGCAAACGTGAGATTAACGGCTGGCAGGGTACTGGAAGGAGAGTCGTGTGTAGCAATCGCATCTGACTCTAATTAAAGCACTCGGTGCCAGCACCTACCAGTCAAAGTGCTTCAATAACTGTTTAGCATTCCTTGTTCGGAATGTCTGAGTCGATGAATCTTTGTGTGTTTTTTTTATTATTGATAAAATAAATAAAAACTAGATTTTCGGTTTTGGAGGTTGGATCCATGTGGTTTTTTTGTCCCACTAATTTGTGGGAACTTTTCTTGCAGTGGGTTGAGGTCAGGGTTTTTTTTTTACCAACTGGTTTTCGCTGCAGTGCAGGGTCGTGATTTGTTCATGTTGAGAAAAGTGGCAAATGAGGATATGAAGCGCAGAGCCCCAAAAGTTGGAACCGCTCCGTTTTCACTTTTGTTTTATAATTGTGAGGTTGTGATATTCTGCAGTAAAAAAAAAGTGCCATATAATTAATGTTTCACTTTCCTGGCATAACCCAATTTTTTTTTTTTAACACTCACAGGTCACAGTTTGGCTTCAGAACCTGGATGTAAACCGACTCCCACTTCGTAGGCCATATTGAGCTCAAATTTAAAGGGCTCTTAACACTTGTACAAGGTGCTGTTCGTGAGTTTTTTTCTCGTGTGACAGTAATGTTGATGAAAATAAACCCAGTCTCTTAGGTATTCTCTGTGATAGCAACAGTTAAAATAAAGGCAAATCAAGCCAATCTAAACATATTTTGAATAGGTAACAATTATATTTGATACCTTTTTTAAACACAAGTAGCAGAGATAAAAAAAAACGGAGATTGGTTTGCATGCACGGAACACCCTGCAGCATGGGTGAGCTGTCCAAGCAAAATTGAAGGATATATATTCAGCGTATAAAACAAAAATCTGCTTGAAAATTGAATTTAAACTAAAGTCAACTGGCATAATCCAAGGACCTGCCTCTGGGAAAGCACAAATAGTCTCTTGTCAAAAATTGGACTCTCTAACAGGAATGAAATATATTTTGCGCAGTCTTCAAAACGTTAAGTTGGCAAAAAAAATTCCATCTAATTCAGCAGAACGTGAAGCGTTTGACATTTTATTTCCTAACAACAACATTTCACATCTCTGTGTTCCGGACATTTAGCTTATCCGTGTATGGTATGCTGTGTCATAGCGATGTACTTGACAAGCCTTGTCTGTGTTCTCACATCGGGCCAACCTTTTTTTGGCCTTTTGAACCACACATGTGGCATATGCATTGAATGTTTACTATCCCAAGCATTGACGTATAGTCTCTAATGGCAAGTGTGACCATTGCGTGGTTTGTGTTTGTCTGTGTGACTCAACCTCAGCTGAGTACCTGGTGTGGTGCGCAAACGTCAGCATTCGCAGACAAAGGCGGCCTGGCGTGGTGTTGGTTTTACCACCCCCTCGTGCGCCTTGCTGGCCTTCATAGGTTTTCGCAAAAAGCACTTGCCCCAAGAATCTGTTAAAGGCTACACGGGGAGATCTTTGTGTATCACAGTTGACAAACATTTTTTGTTGGCTTCACCTGTGAACCACATGCTAAATAAATCAGCAGTGAACAAATAAATAACAAGCTGTATTTACAGAGGGGGCCAGCATTGTTTGTGGACTATGGCCTTAACACTTACGAACATGTTTAACCATTGTTGTGCGCGGAGGAGGTTGGTGGGTGGGGGGTAGATCAATTAAAACAATTAAAAAGGCCACGGTTATTATGTACATTTGTTCAATTAATTAGCGATCACTTAACAATTAGATAGAGCCATTATGAAAAATGATAACGTACACCTACGCCAGTGAAATATTAAATTGCGACGCAATCATATGTTGCTTTCGCAAATAATGACGTAATTAGATGTTGGGGGGACTGGGGCAGAGCGGGATGGGGTAGCAGTAAGATTAATGCGCACGAAAAACAAGTGATATCCAACAACTCCTCTGGCCCGTAGAGAGTGAATCTCATTCATGGTTGAGCGCTCGGTCCCTTCACGACGATGGTGCAGGGCTCCCTCCGGACGTGCCGCGGGTGACTCGGCGTTGCTCCACGTCCCGTCGCGTGCTTCCGACAGTGATGGCACAAAATTGAGAGTCTTACCGGCACTGTGCTTTGTCAGTTTTGTTGTTGTCCGGTGCGGATGCCTGGACATTGCCTGAAGCTGATTTGGATTGGCTGCAGTCCTTCCACATACGACGCCAAAGACGCCGTCTTGGCATCCGATGGCTCGACTTCGTCAGAAATGTCACCGTTGCATCTGCGAACCGATCTCCTAGCGGTCGAGAGCTTAGTTCGAGGGAAACAGGCCATGTCACTTTTTTGGACACGTCGCCCATCTTCAGTAAAAAATTGCACTCTTGGGTTGGTGGTCGACGTTGGAAGTGAGAATTGCGACCCTTAAAGGAATGGCGCCGTACCCCGTGGTCGCACCCCCCGTGGATCAAACAAAGCACTCGAGACGCTGGTGTACGGCAGCAAGAGCAGTTTATGCAAATGCTGTCACAGGGAATTACACGTTTAGCGCAACGGCTCCTTCGCCGACTACGCGTGATGAATGAATGAATGCCTTCCCAGGGCCGCCAGTGGTGGATGGAGGCAGACGAGCCGTGGCAGGTGCTGGCCTGCTGCATGGAGATTGCCAAAGCTGTCCGCTCCCCCGATCCCAAGGAGTACATATCACACTTTCCTACCCACCAGGTAAGATGTCGCCATCGTCGTTATCATCGTCGTTTTCATCGTCATCATCTCCTTCGTCATTGTCACAGTGGTCATCATGATCGCTATTCACGTCATGGGCATCGTTCTAATCGTCGTTGTCGTCTTCGTCGTCATTGTCACCATTGTCATCGTTGTGACCGTCTTTATTATGATCACTGTCATCATCGTCGTCAGAATCTTTGTCATTATCGACAATATCCCAACCGTCATTGTGTTTATTATCGTTCTCGTCATCGTCACCGTGGTCTTCAGCATTATCGTAATCGGCAGCGGTAGCGGCAAGAATCGTCAAATCAGCAGCGGCAATGATCATCAGTTTTGTCAAACGTCTCATCACAGGCAGCTCCACTTGCAGCGAGGCGTGCAGTACAATTTGCACTTAATAGCAAGAAGGCATTTAAAGACTCACCCCCCCCCCCCCCCCCCGGCCACCTCATGATGTGGGGAATTCTCGCAATTTCGAGTTTTAAGACAATTAATTATTCTATTCTTCCTCTTAGCACTTTGGTGAATGTAGCACCTCTAGTGGCTACAGTGATCACGTGAGCATTAGAAGAGATTTAAATCAATAAACCAATGCATCGTTACAAGCCTATGGGTGATAACCGTTCAAAGCAGGGAACCGGCCCCAGTGGACGTCAACAGGGGAGATGAAGCGATGAGATCTCGGCTTGTGCATGAGCTAGATGGATCATTCCATCACTTGACCGTGAGAGATGACGACGACTTGGGTAGGTGCTTGGGTGCGGGGGGAGCATGGCTGATGATGATGATGATTGCTCGCATATCAACCTATGTTGGAAGATGAGCAGAGGCGCGACTGGACTTTTTCTTTTAACGGTTGTGCGTTGCAGAGTGTTGGGATAAGGGCAGCAAGTAGCGCTTCTCGGCGCTACGTATAAGCAGCCAAGGCCCAGTTCTTCATGAGGAGACTGATCTTGAGCTTGGAGTGCACGCGGCAGCGGTTGCGGCGGCGGTAATTGATGGTGATTGTGCATATTCAGTGGGGTGAACTTGCACGCCGAGTCTTTACCGAACAACGTTACGTGCGATGAATCGAGACGCATTAAAATTGCATTATAATGACCGCAGTACTTTTTTTTTGTTTAACGATACGGTATTTGTCTCACTGTGGCATAAATATATAATTTTCCTTTCTTTTTGCTTGCAATATGCTACTTAATGCTTTGCATTGTGTAAACCGAAACATTGTGATACCTTTGCGTCCCTGTGTGCACTGTGTGGAAGTGATCACAGCTGGTCGCCATTACTGATGTCGTGACTTTTAAACCAGGCCAGTTAGACTGAAACAAAACAAGTCAAAATGGTTTGACTTTCTGCTCAAATGAGCGTTGAGGTGGTGCTTGAAATTCCGTTTCCCGATGGCGAGGGTGAGTCTGTGCGTAGGGGAACCGCTGTTGAATTCGCCAATAAAGTGGAACTCATTTCACAGACCCCGGAGGGATGATGGGGCGAGTCGACCCCCTCCCAACCAGGATTTGAATTCACAACCTTCAGTCTCTGAGCTTCTTGCTCTGCCACTGAAGCACCTGATCAGATTTTGATAAAGTGAAGTTTGCAGAATGTTTCTCTTATTGCTTAAGGTGGTTTTGCATTGCGCATTTGTAGGCTATCATTAACAAATCAATTGAATGTAGGTGTTTTATTTATACTTCTTTTCTTTATGAATACATACCCACCGAATCTCACAGATGCTAGCCCAGGGCTCGGCAACCCGTGGCTCCGGAGCAAATGCGGCTCTTTAAGGACGTTATTTTTTAAGGACCCTCTCCTATTAACGTGCATTGCGACTCTTGAATTATTGAGTTTTTTTTACCGAAATCTAACAAAAATGTCTCTTCTTGTTATTTTGGTTGCCGACCCCTGTGCTAGAGTGATCTGGGCAAAGTCCCTTCAGTGAGTCTGTCCGGCAGGTGTGATTAACAGCCCTGCGTAACCAAGCAGCTTTTATTTGGACGCATATATGGATTATGATTGGACGCAGCAAAGGCTAGTGAGAGGATTTACTGAAGTTGTACAGGAGGACTGGTACAACCTCAGGACCGGTACAAATCAAAGAAGAAATCGCTGCATAGATTTTTGCCGTTGTGCTTTACGCTTGTACCGGGTGTTGTTCTGCACGATGTCCGAGGCGTTGCTCTGTTCATTTCCCGAAGAAGCTTCCAGCACGCGGAGCGAAACGTCAAACGTCGTGCCCGTCAGCGCGCGCGCTATGACCCAAAAACACACCGAAGGGCTTGCCGAATTGGTCTGTGCAAAGGAGGCTTGTGAATGCTTCTGCTGGGCCGATAGAGACAGCTGGCCTCGAGGGACAAAGCTCGGTGCACTGGGGTAGTGTGTCAGGTGGCTAAAACACAAGCTGACATTTTGCGAGGAATGCAGTTGGTGCATCTGCCAGTCACCCTCGTCTGTTAACCTTTAACACTCGCATCTGGCACGTGATCCCGTCAGCCAACCTTTTCCACTCAACGTGGAATCAAGAGTTCGCCGAGTGTGGCACAGGCACCACGGTGATGGCACCGTAACTTAGTGGCGAATTGTTGCTGCTGCCGCTTCCGCTCTCGCTGATGCTGATCCTGTTGCTGACCCGCTGCTGCTGCTGCTGCTGCTTTTGTTGGCGCGCAGGACGGGTCCTGCAATGGGCTGCAGCACTACGCCGCCCTGGGACGCGATACGATTGGCGCCGCATCCGTCAACTTGAAGCCGCTGGACATGCCCCAGGACGTGTACGCGAGTGTCGCGCAGCAGGTGCTGCTGCCGCCGGCGCTGCGACCGGTCCCCGTGGCCTCCGCTTTGCCGCTTCCTGTGCCGCGCCGGTCTATTTTTGATGGGGAGGGGGGGGGGAACCCAAGCGAATTAAAACGCAGAAAGAAAGCGAATTCTGTGCTGCACGTTATAGAGCCTAATGCTCTCGTTTCGGCCCCTCCTTGTTTTGTAAAAGATTGCTCTCACCGGTTCATTTCTTAACTGTCTAGATAATTGTGGTATCCTAGCACTCGGCACCTTGCTGTAAATCATGTTTTTGGTTAAAAAATCTTGTCGGTTTTAATATCTCCAAAGCCTTACGCGATGTTATGTTTGTGTATGTTTTTGTTTACTTGTGCAGATAGTTTCTTCTGTTAAATTTCAGTGTCCCCAAACAGCAAGTGCTGGTTGGTGCTCGCCTTGGTTGGCGATCTGGCACGAGTTGTGGACATCCAACAATTTTTTGCATTTGTCCGTCATAGGGCAACCACCTTTTATTTCCCACCATGTGGTTCACCCGCACCGTTTACCCTTCCATTACCGACCCAGAGGGAAGATGGGCCATGCCAACCGGCTGCAATTTAAACTGAAAACGTCACCGTAGGGAGCTCTGTGCATGTATCAGCAGACCTAATTCCCATCGTATTATCTTCATGTCCATCTTAAGTATTCCAGTCGAGCAATATTGAATGAATCTTTTGCTTATTCAAGGCTTGAGGCTGACACGGTGCGGGCGAGCGTGTTTCACGGACAAAGTGTAGGGTTTTGGCAAGTGTCCCTTGACGATGTTACGGTTCGGTGCCGCCCCCCTCCTCGCCTCACAACTCCGCGACAAATCTCTCCGATGCCCGCTGCCGTTCTCAGGTTGATGTGTTCCGTGCTGAGGACGCCAAGAACGACGTGAAGATCGCCCAGGTGCTCGAAGGCTTCATCGGCCGCAAGTTGGTCAAGCAGACGGTGATGACTGTGGTGTACGGCGTGACGCGTTACGGAGGACGACAGCAGATCGAGAAGCGCCTCAGCGAGATGGACGACTTCCCCAAGGTGCAGCACCACCTGCGGCTCCGCTGCCAGCCAAAGCCTTCTGTTTGCGCTCGTGGCATTTTGTTCCCGGGCCCCCTGGGGTCTTGCGCCAGTTGCGGAATGACGTGCCCTCTTCGATTTAGTCTGAAGCTTGAGTGTGCCAGCACGACTCGATCTCCGATAGCTTTGGCCTTTGCAGAAATTTACAAAGCAATTGGGCCTCCCTCTAGATATGTGCAACTGTTTTGCTGCAAAAAAATGGGAAAGTAAAGTGGGACTGCCAGGTTTTGTGTTGATTTGTGGATACTTGGGTATAGTGCAAGAACCAAAGCTTTTAAGCGATAAATTGCTTTGCTGGTGTTAACTTTTTTTCCTCGTGGCAATATATGTTTTAGTGTTCTTGATTGCGTTTGTAATGGGAAAAGATTGCGATACATCATGGGACCTCCTTTGCCAGTACCAAAATATGAGAATAGGTTTGCCCCCTCTTTTTTCTGGTGTTTAGATGTTAAAGCACCAAACTGAAACCTTTTACAAGGAATCATGTCTGCATTAACCACAATACTTGTGGTTAGAATGCAAACAAAAAACTTACTCTGATAATATATGCGTTGTCTTTGAAACTGATTGGTCCACACCAGAGATAGCTTTCTTTTGAAGCGTTTTGGCGTCCTCTGGTCTAACACCGTTTTGAAACTATGCTCAACAGAATTCAAATACGTTACATTTATTATGTCCGTGATTTAAATATATTCCGCGCGTCTTTTTTATATGGTGAAGAAATTAATGAGTAATGCTTTAACACATTAACAATGTTGTTTGTTACTCACGTGGCACATTAATTGCATAATGAGAAATTATGGCACGAAATTCTATTTAAGGTTTTTTAAAAATAGGAAATACATTTTCGTAAGTGCATCACATTTTTAGACTATTAAGCACTGAGGCCTGGGGAATGGCCTGTTCATTTACTAAAAATAACTTTTGATTGCACCGTCAATTGAAAAACGTCCCTTAAAAACGCTGCTTATTTTTAGCTGACGTCCTGCTGCCAATAATACTTGCATTTAACCTTCAGCGTAACCTCCGCCACTGCAGGAGGTAAGCAATATTAGATTTTGTGTCGGGGGTAAAATGTATTCAAATGTGCTTACCATTGATCATATCGAGTCTTGTCACCGATGGCCATTAGGCTAATTTGTATGGAGGCTTTGTCTCTTGTTTTCAGGCTGTCCATCGCGTGGATGTACCTGCTTGTCGGAATGATTGTATCAAGGGCCTTTTGAGTTCATAATGAACTCTTTTGACTTACGAGCAAAAAAAAAAGAAAATACTCCCCTACCAAACTTTGCAATTCAAAATTGCATTTGCGTTCATCACGTGGAGTAAGCAAGGGTCTAAACCCCCCCCCCACCCAAAAAAATCTGAAAGAATACAGAGATGACGGCTAGCGATAAGCGACGGATTAGAAGGGGTTACAAATTAATTCACCTTCATGTAACCTTGGACCGGAGATGTTTATCCCATTCAATTTTATACGCATAAATCATATTAAATAACGATTACGAACTATTGTTTTAATTGTTTTGTACCCAACAATCACAATCAAATAAGCCACATTCATTAGTGAATGTTAAAATACAACAACACAAAAACCCAACACGACCGTCAATAACGTGGATCTTTGCCCAAAACGCTGCCTATTATATAAGTGTTTGCTTTCGGGTGATGATATTGACAAATGTGTTGAGTTTTTCTTATTTATACATCATTCACAAATGCCAACGTAGTGTTGCGTTAGAGGGAGTGCTTTGTAAGCAGCAATGCGCAAGAGATATTACAGTCTTCGGCTTGGTAACATAAAGACACGCGTGTCTCAGTGATGCCCTCGGCTGCGAAACTACAATTAAGCCAATATATTGCGCGAAAATGTTGTTGTTTTTGTGCGTGTGGAAATGTAACCCTAAAAGTCGCTTTAAGTTTAATGAAAAAAAAATCAATTCCCGAGCGCTACTTTAATTCAACTTTTCACAAAGTGGCACGTGAAATAAATGAATTACACATAAGTGGGAGTTAATGTTTTCTCAGAATTTGGTGCTGGTTTAAAACAGGGGGTGGGGGGGAGGAAAATCTTCCTCGAACAATTGCTTCGTACAACCCAAACCCTCTCCTTTGCACCACCATCCATCGTAGGCCCCCGCGGAAACGCCCCGAGATTGGCCCGATCTCCACTAACAGATCGGCAGCATTCCGTAAGGTGACCCCCGGGGGTTTTGTTGCGAACTGATGGTGATGGAGCGATCGCCAACATCCACTTACATAGATTGAACATTTAGTATGCGTCCAGCGTCCTCGATATTTAAAAAAAATCAAGTGGGATGCGCCGATTAATGAAATTGCTGGCATAGGAAATCTAAACGTTGCTTCCTCAAGCGTTATTGTGCTGGGAAAATAACGGAAAGAAGCTTTTAGAAACATTCCAAGCGGTTCCCTTTGTCGCACGCTCATATCCAGCAGTGTGCATTCCCATGCAGTTTGTGTGTTACGCTCTTTGGGATTCACCTTTTGTCACTGCGTGTGATTTTTTTTGCTTTCAGGAAATGGTTTTATTACTCTTCCATTTTTGTTATCTTGTTGCCAGATACCTGCCAGAGGTAAATTATCATCGTCCCTATGTCAGCCGGCGAATCTGGGAATTTAGTTTTGAGAAACCCCCCCGCCCCCCCAAAAAAAACATACTTAACCGTATTCTTGGTTTTTTCGGTAAAGTCACGTAGAAGGGAAATAATAAATAATAAAAATATAAAATAATAAAAATTCCCACGACGTTTCGACTGCAACACAAAGCAATCATCATCAGGTGTGAAATCCACAGCAAGAAACTTTTTATTATTTTATCTTTTTATTATTTTATCTTTTTATTATTTTATTATTTCCCTTCTACGTGACTTTACCGAAAGAACCAAGAATATGAATCCCTGCAGTCACGAAAGCTTTAAATCAAAATTTATATTTAACCGTGTTTTGAACCGGCAATATTCGTACTGATTAATGGACTTGTTGACTTTGTTGGGTGATGTTTAATGTTAATTCACATCGCTGTACTTGTACAGAAAAGAGCTGATCAAAAGAGTTTCAGAACCGAATATTAAACACACGTACAGACGCACAGACACACGCATGCACATACCCTCATTGCTTCATTTTTAAATGTAATAACCAGTAACATCAATCCACTTGAACTAAATATTACAATGTCACGTCAGTGTCTTAACGTTGTTCGCTTCACAAAACCTGTATGGTGCCCTATGTATGTATGTGTGCACACATGGACGTACTTTATGGAGCAGTTATTTACATTTGTACACAATGCACAATTTAGTATGGCAAGCGATGACCATAAACCACTAGCGTCTAGTAATACGAAACAATTCTCCTGTCATTAAGCGGCATTTTTATCCATGGTTAAATACCCAATGTAATTCCAGTACATTTTGTAATTCCAGACTGCAAATCTGGTCATGACCAAATTATATTTTCATTATGAAAAACATCTCATCATGACTACAGAGCATCCTTGTCGCCAGATGCTGTCCCTGTGCAGCGTAGCTTAAATGAGGTCCTATGTCATATTTGCAGCAGTATGAAAATGAGGCCATTTGCTCGGTTTTATTTTGGGCGTCGTTATTACGTAGAATGTCGTGGCAAAGTTGTTGCATAATGCTTGTCTTGGCACGATGTGTGGGCCCGGTGCTGTTTCGACAAAGAAAGGCACATGAATATTGCACTCGCAATTTTTTTCCACGTGGCAGAAACGTGCCACGATGCTTTAAAAAATATACAGCGATTATGCCAATCCTTGTGGCTGAGATGACCGCAAAGAACCTCGTACGTGCAGGAATCTCAGGGGGATCAGTGCAAGCACACGCCAGTGTGCCGTCGCCCGTCAGAAGCAGGTGGCTTCGGCCTTATGACGCTTTTATTGAAAGGAGGGAGAGAAAAAAAACATCCCCGTCATCTTGATTTTTAATGTGCAGGCGTGATTCTTTAATGAGCATACAGGTGCTTTGAATTGAAATATTTGTACCTTTTAAAAAAATGACAATAAAACAATAAGTCTGGCGTATGATAATATGATACGATAATTTTCACCGTCTGGTCTTAACGCAATATCAGTTTTTCTTCACAGTAATCCGTATGCAGCGTTTGCATTTTTTTAGAAAGGTTTTTTTTTTCAGTGAAACATTTTTCGTGTTATTTTAGTGCAGGTTTTCGCATGCGTTGCAGTAATTGTGTTCGTGGCTATCATTCTCTTGACACAACAACAACAAAAACTTCGGAGACATGCCAGCTAATAAAACCTGGGATGCATTTGCCGCTCTCTTCGTGAGACAAAATTACTCTTGGGAGATGATTGCAAAAATCGTAGCTTCGTGCACTTGCTGTTCTTAGTATGCAAATCGTAGTGGGAAGGCGGGTGAAGTACACACACCAGTGCACACATTTGTCGTCAGCTTTTTAAAGTTTCACAGAGTGGCCATTGCCTGCAATTCGTCCAAGCTCAGTCATGAACTGAAGTTTAAACCACCAGCAACTGCAATGCAGTGGAATTTCGCAGGTGAACCGTGAAGCTAAAAAGGTCGCAGATATTTTATAATGACTTATATCAAGTCGGTGGGGGAAAAAAACGAGTTCACTGCCCTTTTGTAATTCTGGAACAGTCTGGCCAGAATTCAGAAAATTATTGGATAAAAAATGCACATGGAGGTTATTATAAAAATGTAATTAAATAGTAGCCATTGATTACATTTCAATTTGTTATATTTCTTGCAAGGTCTATTCTCGTCGTACTGTCAGTTACATTTTACGGCAAGTTTTTTGCCGTGTTTTTTTTGTTGTACAAGTATATTTCGTTTCAAAGGCCACTGCTCCGTGTGAAATGTAGCCCATAAATATGCCATTCTAAGATTTATGTTGTGCCAAAAACGTACAGAAAACCACCTTCCCCCGCCACGACCAAAAAAAAAAGCCCCCGTCACCTTTTTGAGTGTCGCTACATTGCCTGTTGCAAGGAACGACCGGCCTGCCAAGCTCATAGCCAGAACGTTGGACTATAGATAGAAAGCAATAGCATGTATATGGCTGCAGGTATAATGAGAGTGGCTCTGTGATTGATGGTGTAGCTGCACCGTCTTTCTCTCTTGTCTACTCCCAGCTGCCTCGCTGACCTCACCCCAAACAAACGTGAACCCCCCCCCTCTCACCCCCCCGCCCCCCTCTAGGAGCACGTGTGGGACGCTTCGGCCTATCTGACCAAACTGGTTTTCTCCAGCCTCCGGGAGATGTTCACGGGAACCCGTGAGATCCAGGTGGGTGTATCTCGCCAGCTGCGCCTTCCAGTCCATCAATGGGACAATTTGCGGTGGCCAGTCGGGTAATTGCGGTGAACTGTGCATGACCGCTGAACGCTTGAGTCGTGATTCATGTGTTGGTGGAAAAGCAGACCCATTGATTTGTATTATGCCTGCCCCCCCCGGTGTAAAAACAGCCAAATCGGCAGAAAATAAAAGTTAGGATTTTGTAAAAAAAAAAAAATCTAATGGCAGAAGCTGCCTCTTCACCAAAAAATGAAACAGGCCCTGGGTGTGATACATGTGGCACAACGGTGCACTTTAAACCCCGTTACTTTGTGCCGAACACAAGCCTCGCATGCTGTCCGACGTTTCGTTAAAAGTGCTGGCAGCTGCTTCAGGAACTGAAACGTCAGATAGCATGCTGAACAACACCGAAGAAACATCGGATAGCTGTGCAGCACGACCGTGAAAACCTACGTAGCAGTATAAATCAAAAGAATACTTCCCCCCACCCCACCGTTACTCTTATTTCAATATACGCTGGTTTTATGTAAGACTGGAAATAGTGCGCATTAATAATCCATGAAAGTGAGGCTCTGCGTTTACTCCACACCAATTCTCCGAAGTGGAGCTGCAAATAAACTGGCGCGTTGTGACGACCAATTCAAAACTCTCATGCGTTTCAGTGGAAATGATAGAGTGAGTGCGCTATTGATCGCAACAGTCCTCCCTTTCTCTTGAATTGCAGCAGGTAATTAGGCTAACGACACTAAATCATCCTCCGCCCAGTGTAATTACCCACCTAACAATGGTAAAGATACAGTTATATCAGGCAAGAACTAACCAAATTACCTACATTTGCAGGGGTATAGCTTTACATAAACAGTTTTTCACACAGCCGCGTCAGATGACTATGACGACCAAACGTAGACGGATTTGACAGGCATTGCGTACAATTCATTACAGGCCTTTGATTAAATTTGCCTGGTTTTTTCCCCCCCTGCTGTTTCCGATATGATGAGAGGGAACAGATAAGACGAATGGGGCTCGTTAATGTTTGCTCACTGACTTACACGCACGCTCGCTCCCTGCAGCCCGAGAGTTTACACATTGCCTGCAATTGTCCGTGCTTAGAACTCGCATTCTTGTGCAAAACGCCATCATCAATAAGGTTTGCATTGTTCGAAAATAATACGACCTTTATGCGCCTTTCATACCGTAACACGAGGGTCACGTTGAACGAAAAACTTAGATGGGACCTCTCGGCGAGAGGCAACGGTGTCACCGGAGGTACAGGTGCGAAATGTGCCCGTTAATTATTCTATTAAAGTAATTTCATTATGATTTGGGAGGGTAAAGGAATGGGTAAAAAAAACATTAACAGTAATTATTTAGCAAAGGTGGCTGCTCGCAGGGTGTGTTTGATTAACCTTCCGTGAAATTGGCAACATTATAAGGACCAGGATGTTGCCGTGGTGTAAGGGCTAGCAGAATTAACTTTCAGTTCCAGAGGTCAACCCTGGGCGTGGCAGTTGAAACAATGGGTGCAGGTTTCTTTAAATCCCCTTTGTTCACTGTGCAGGCGGTATAAATGTCTCTACCACAGCCGGTCGATCAGCAGGCAGCCAGGTCGCGTGTGTGGTGTCATACAGGGCTCACTTGAGCGGCTCTGTAGAGCTTATTCTTTGTTTCTTTCGGTAAAGTCACGTACAAAGATAAAATAATAAATTACATAATAGCATACTACGACGTTTCGATTGCTTCCTCTTGTGGAACCTTTTCCCACCAGCAGCGCCACGAGTAAGAAATTGTGGGTTTGCGCCCTCTGTCCGTAAAGTAACGTGTATTTTTTTTTGTGATGCTCTCTTTGTGATAAAAAAAAAATCCATGTAATTATTACATTTGCGGATTCTTCTTCACATAGCCCCGTGGTTTACGTAAAAATCAAACATGCCGTTGCTTCAAGCTGTTTGAGTGCGAAATTAAGTTTTTGTTGGTGATGGAGGTGAAATGCCAGTGTTCATCCGCTGTGTAGCTGTTATCTTCACAATGGGGATCGACGTGTTATATAAGCAGCCTTTTAATTATCTACCACGCTGGAAGACTACGATGTCTTTGAAAAAAAACAATATATGAAAATTTAATAAAGCCTTTGAGCTATTAAATAAAATATATCACAGCTTTTTTGATTGTTGAAAATGAGAATCTAGTTGGCAACAGAGTGGCTTTCAAACGAAGCTGTACTTATTTGGGGTGAATAATTACGAAAGGCTGTGTCGCCGGGTGTTTGGGACATTTTAAATCGCTTGTTCGTGTTGGGTTGTGGCAAAAATAGGGCTATCTTTACTCCCAATAGTTTAATTTTAGTCGAGGAAGGGCATGAATTGGCTCGGTTCATCCATTACTTGTCAAATTCCGTCTGTAGCAACACGGCACAAGTGAGACAAACAGAAAATATCTTCTTGGTTCTTTCGGTAAAGTCACGTAGAAGGGAAATAATAAAAATAAAACATAATAAAATAATTCTCACGACGTTTCGGCCACAACGCAAGCAGCCGTCCTCAGGTGAAGAACAGGTCTGTCTGAAAGACTTTACCGAAAGAACCAAGAAGATGAATCCCTGCAGTCACGAAAGCTTTAAATCGAAAATTAAACAGAAAATAATTAAGCGATGCATTTGAACACTAAAAACACTGTCCACCTGGTAACAAGCAGACTTGTCAATATTGAGCACCTTCACCTGCCGTAGGTTGCATACGATATATTTATTTTGTGCAAATATCCTCTTCATTCGTAGAGACTTTCCCCCCCCCCACATTCTGCATTTTCAACAATTACTCGGTCATCAGCAATTGTCATGAGCGAATTGTCTATCCGCCGCTTGATGAAGGCCTTCCCACTCTCGTCGCCGTTTATAACAGCCCTGCGAAGGTCGTGTTACATTTAATCAAGCGCGCGCGCGTGTCCTCCCTGAATTAAAATGCGATCTCTGCAATTTCATCCGCGAGAGGCAGATAGCGGCTGTTTTTATATTAGTGTGGGCGAGCACTGTGCACGTGTTAACGTGTTTTTTCGGGTCTTCCGTTTGCGAGCGGTGTACAAAATAAATACCACGGGACACATTTGCGCTGTTTAGGTTCCCCGGTTTAATCCGTGACTCAGCGCCGCGCGAAGGACCCCAGCGAGTAATGGCTCTGCGAGAGAATGCGTGCATGTTTTGAAAATCGTCTTCACTTCGCTATTTAAAACTTACAAGATGCAGGATCCCGCTGTGCAGCCCACGTACCTTGACTTTCGCATGGAGATAAGACGGCATCTCTTTCCTGCGTAAAAAAAAAACTAATCATTTAGTGGAAGCGGAAAAAGTATGAAGGCACCTGTGCATGGTACACTTATGGTCGCGTGTGGCGGGTTTAAGTGTGGGTATTCCCATCTCTTCCAAGACATCTGGCCAGAGCGAATGAGCATGCCAAGAATACTCTCTAAGAGGGACTCTGCAGAACTCTTTCGAGTGTGGGGGACCTTTCCGCCAGTAGTGGTATGAGCAGGCAATTTCAGGGCTGCCGCTTTATATATATTTTACACGGTGCAGTGACACGGCATCTTATCTCCTGCGCGCAGTTTCCCCGTTCACGCAGGGCTGTGTGCTGGTCGCGTACGGGACCGCTCGCAAACTTCATCAATCTTTGGTGCTCTCCAGCTTTGGAACCCCCTCGTTTTGATTCCCCCCCCCCCCAGTTATGACCTTTCCTAAAACACGGTAATTTAATTCCCAAGTATTGCATCACTGCTGGGAAGGTCAGCAGATTGGGCAGCTTGGTGCGTGCGCCCTGAATAATAAATGAGTTGTCAGCGGATTTGAGGGATGGGGTGTCGGATGCTCACCTTCACCCGCTCTTCCCACTGCGTAGGCACGGCTCGTTCCTGGCTGTGTGCCTTCTTCCCGGCTACCAAACCGCGGCCGCCACTGCGGCCGCCGTGAAGTCGTTTGCATGCGCTGCGCTGTCCACGTGGGCGCAGGGGAATGGATAAAGAAACACGTGGCCGTGTCTGCGGCGATGCTCCAGCCATAACATGTGACGTGCATTTTGACGACTTGCGGGGGGTCGTCATTTAGGTCAGCTGTTGGCGGGGTTTCCGCCCATGTCGACAAATAAGTTTGCTCGCTCGTAAGATTTATTTTTGCTCCTTTTAATACATGCGTGCGTTGCGATAAATTTGGGTATTTGTTTTCTCAGTGCCATTGCGGTTAAACGATAAGGGACTTTGTACTTTTCCAAAATCCATTTGAGGAAAGTAAATTGTAAGCAGTTCTGTCTGTCGAATTGCATTGTTTTAGCCTATGCTTAATTTCCCTTGATGCCAGGCAGTTGAGAGGATATTTGTGGAATCGTTGAAGTTGCATTTATATTGTCAAAGGCTTAATTTTGAAATGTGCTTAATATAGCAGCATAAGTGTTTCTGTGGATTGCGGAAAATCTGTTCGTGTTGGCTTATGGCCATGCTATTCCAGGGACTAAGGACATGATCCGATTTCAACTGCTAATTGAATCACCTTGCTACAAGCTTATTTTAAGCCGGTATCCAAAACCACCTCCAGTGAATGCGCAAGATACGATGTTAGCACAGTGCTGTTCCTTATTAATAATGCGTAAAATGAGATATTGTTTTTTGTTTGTTGAAGACAAAGAAAGAGAAGTGCCTAATCACACGCGTTTGTCTTCGCCGCTCTTCAACGTTGTCATACAAGTGCCCGTCTATTCTCCCTGGAGGGGGGTAGGGGTAGGTGGAAAGCGGGGGGGGGGCATGGGGGTGAGGAGGGGGAGGGACGGTTTAGTGGGTAAGATGATGATTCACTTGTGTGCTGCAGTACAACCGTTGTGTGTCCGTGGCTGGCCTTAGCCTTCACCGCAGTACCTTTTAGATATTATAATAACCGCGTAATCCATGTTTCCTGAAGGTTACGCCGACTACCAGTTTGCGTTGCTCTCTTCGCTGCAGAGCTCTTTAGGGTAATACTCTCTACATATCTAGCCACTTTGGAGAGAGCTACATTTTATATTGTGTCCTGTAGTCCTGTATTTCTTGCTTTAGTGCTGTAAATCTTTTTTTGGGTGGGGGGGGGGGCTGTTTTGAGCATTAGGAAATTATACTCAATCCTGGATTTCTCTTCACTTGATACAGTAAATTTGGCTGTGACGGTCCCACCTGAAGACGGAGACTTGTGTTGCCTCCGAAATGTCGTGATTTAATTTAGTTATTTTCATTTATTATAATTTTATTATTATTATATCATTATTTTTTACCTACGTGACTTTACCAAAAAAATCTAAGAGTATGAATCCTTGCAATCATGAAAGCTTCAAATCTAGAATTAAAGTAAAAAAAGTAAACTTTTGCAATGTAAAATGGAATTGCAAAGATAAGTGTGTTTGACGTGTGTATATCAAGTGTTTTCCGACACTAAAACGGCAGCCACCATGATATTTCACGCCATGACTTCTGTGTTATTGGTGGGTCTTGAAAATCGGGCCATTTAAGAAAATGTCGTTCAACAGAAAAAAAATATTTAAAGCATTTCCATATGGGTTCTTCAAATTAAAGTTTCCGGCAACGTTTGTTCAAGGAAGACAACCTTGGAATGATTTCGGTCTTAATGAGTTTCATCTGCAGGGTGCAACCTCTTTCTTTGTAATAATTGACCCGAGTAGCAAAATAAGTCTAATTGCTTTTTTTTAAAGGAATACAGTTCTGCAGAAAGGATAATGCAGCCCACGGTGTGATGGCTAGCACACAGAACTTTCAATGCAGAGGTCGCTGGTTCAATTTTCCAGCATGACAGCTAAAACAATTCCGTAGGCTTCTTAGAGCCCTCCGCCTCTGTTCGCCCAGCAGTTTAAATGGGTACACCACGGTTAATCGATCGGTTTGTCGCATGTGGTGGGGTAAAGTGTGTGTACCCCTACCTCTTCCAAGACTTTCGACCAACGTGGAAGGGAAGGCCACAAGGTACCCTGGTGAAAGGGCTCGCCAGAGCTCCCTCGAGTTGAGGCTCTTCCTCCAGCAGTGTTATGAGCAAGAAATTACTTTGCTTTTCACCGGTTATTATACAGAGTACGTAGGCATTTATGAGCACTGTCGCTGTCACCGCTAAATGATTTAACGTTTGCGCGCCACCTTCGTTGATCCCTTCAGAACTGGCTGACCGAGAGCGCGAGGATGATCGCCCGTGCGGGCCAGTCGGTCGAGTGGGTGACGCCGCTGGGCCTGCCTATCATACAGCCCTACCACCGCACCCAACGATCCGTGGTGAGTGCCACATATGCCCACAGCCGGACGCCGCCGCTGCCGCCGCCGCTACCACCACCACCACCTCACGCCTGCACAAGCTGCCTCCCGCGTCCACAGTTGCGCATTACTCTCTTTTAGCCAGCGACCGCTGTGAATTGTGGACCTATCCAATGATGCCGTGGCTGCCCCCTGAGCAGTTATTACTTGGGTGTTGTCGTGTTTGGCAGTGAGCCGTTGGTGGTGGTGCTGACATTGTTGGAATTGCACTTCTCCCGGCCAATTGTAATTAACCACCACGTGCCACGGTTATCGCACCCCGGTTTGGGTTTTGTTTAAAACTTGGCCAAGCAGTTGGTTGTCCACTCTACTGTTCTCAGACAGCCCAGACTGTTCTCTTTAACTGGGGCCGGTGTTTTGTTCACTAATATATATAGGTCTGCAGTGACTGTCGAGAAACATGAACTACTGCCTATTTGGCAATTTAACATGGGAGCGAGGGCAGGTATCAATTATTAATGGTAAAAAAAAATGTTGCAATACCATGATGTCAGTAACCGAGATCTCCTCTGAAACTTAATATAAGACTTCGCTTGACAGCAGTAGCCACCTCTACAGGCTTTCTTGGAACACTAAAAAAAAATTGTCTTTACGATTACGTTGAGTCGGACTAATGTGTCTTGAGCGATTCTGAAATTTAATTTGCATATGCAATACTTCCATGGGTTTTATTTTTTATTTCATCTTTTTGGAAGAGATGGAACGAAAAGGACGGTCTGCACTTGAAAAGATGACTTGCGGGCCACAGAGAGCCGCATGTAAGAATATAAATTCCACGTAGTTTATGGAATTTTCTGCCTTGAGAAAATGAACTCCGCCATCTATTATGCTGTCTGCTCTTAATAAAACACTCTTCCAACATCTTGTGAAGAAAAAAACACAACCCACCCTGCCTTAAAATATATTTTTGAGCAGTAAGAAAATAAATTGCTTTGAATGTTAGATCGCCTACCTACACAGGAACAGCTTTTTTATCTTCTGCATACTCAATTATTTGAATAAATTAAGCACCTCTGGTTTAGAAAGAGAATACCATGTAACCAATGGTGGTCTAATGGCTTAGTCACGTGGTGGTGGCGGCTATGCATGTGTGTAAGCCGTCACTCTGGTTGCGAGGGTTGGTGACTCACACAGATGTGTGAAACTCCCATCTTGTGTGCGTCCAGGTGCCATACTCTGGCTTGCCAGGAGAAAGGAGCACGCACAGCAACTGTGAATTCCTCCTGTTCCATCTTTATGGGATAGAGTGTTGCCCCCTAGCACGCGTGGGTTTTCTGCGGATGCTCTGGTTTCCTCCCACATGTAAACAATCATGAATTGGCCGTTAACACCTTAATATATGGAGAACTGCAGAGCTCGGGGGAGAATTAGTGCCGGCTCACCACCTGGCTGCCTTTCTTGTAGCTCTTGAATCCTTCTTTGTTTTCCAGAGTGAGCGCATTACAAGTTCAAATTATTATCATTATTAATAGCTTCATGCAGTCCCATGATGATACTTTTCGACTGTTGTGGCTGCCTCACACTGTGATTGTACCACACCATGCCGTCTATAGTTTGTTACGTCTGTGTGTGTGTGTTCCACGTGGGGAGGTCGACTCAGCCTCAAATGAGTACCTGGTGCAGTGTGTAAACATCGCCACAAGTAAGACAATGGCACCCGGGTGTGGTGCTGGCCACCCACCTCCTCGTGTGCCGTCCCGGCCTTCATAGATGCTTCTAGCTAACAGCACTTGCCCCAACAGCCTGTTAAGGCTATATGGGGGATGTTTGTCTTTTTGTTTCACATCTCTCCACTTTTTTGTTCAATCCACTGCACAGCGACAAATCTCTCTTCTGGCCACTGAACCTGAAGACGTTGTGCATTCTAATTTCAGAGACCTTAAAGAGCAGGGCGGTGTTTGTGCCCGTGTGGTCTTGCTCCTGTGCGCTAATGTCTGGCACTCCTTCTCCACCTCGCAGCGAACTCTGCACACTCTCATCACACGCACCGGGGACATTAGCGCAGCTAATCCCATTCCTGGTGACGCACAAAAATCCCTGGCTTACGGACGATAAAAGAAGACATTGTCCTATTAGGGGCTCTTTTTGTGTGCGTGCGTGTGAAAGGCACTGATTGCTAGTTATGCGTGCCCATCTGCACAACATTTCCAGAAATGGATAATTGTAAATAATTGGATCATTATGGACACTATGTAAATTACTAAGCATTCACTTGAAAGGTACAAGTCCTTTGAAAAAAAAAATAACACTGAAATTCGAACAAATAGTTTGTTCAAAATAACACGGTTGAAGGGTGTCCTGCTATACCAGAGATCTCACGCCACCGTTGCCCCGTGTGGACCGTCGTGCCACGCTGCGACTCATCGGTGCTATCAAGGTCAGAATCAGAATATATAAATTGATTGGAAGAATCCGATTATCTTTGAAGCTCTTTTTCACAGATGAAGGTGCCGTCCGCAACGGTCCACTCAGTACGTTGTTTGTTGTCCTTCCCCCGCACCTCCGATTAGCACGTACGGTGCGAAAGAAGTTCAGCATACATACGTAAAGAACTGCGTCTGCATTGCCGATCCCACCTGTTGTCGGCCTGGCTTTGACCTGCCACGCCGGTCACAGGCCCTACTCAACACCTAAGACCAACGTGACCACGAACCGACTCTGTGGATGTGCTCAGCGACAGGCAGACCGTGTCACGGTGTCACATCGTCGATGAGTGTTCCCTGACTGGACTCGGAACGGTGGACGTAGGGCCGCTCACTCCACGCTGCCGATGAAGTGGCTGTCACCTTGCTCGGCAAGACAAGTTATAAGAGACAATTATAAATGTTATTGTTAACGTGGTGAATTGGCACTAGTCTCAGTCTGAGATCCTGTGTCTGATGTCCATATACCCAATTGAGATAAATCCATATGTATCCGCCACACACACACCGAGTTTATTTAAGTGAAGATCCCATCAAGACAGAATTTTACTTTTCCACGGAGACCCTGAGCGCAAATTATTCCTGTACTGCACAAAGTGCCACAGTTCTGGAAAATGAACAAGATCGTAAATGTCCAAATGAAAAAAAACAACTGCCTTTTTCATCAAACCAACTTAGCAATAAGCATAAGGAATAAAAATAAAACACAGAACCTTTCAGCTGTGTGTTTCACGCGCATGAATCGCAAAGGTTCAGTACTCTGATGTAGCTCTTGGGGTACAATGCGCTCCAGATTTACGCAGCGTTCAAACGCGACCCCGTCGACAGTCGCTCCACAAATGTGGACCCGGCGCATCTCTCAGGAGCAGTGAGTGCGATGCTCTCGGTCTGTACGTATGTATGTCGAGCTTCTTTCGTACCGTACCTAGCCAACCGTGCTAATTCGGAGGTGCGGGGGAGGGGGCAACAACAAGAGGTCCGTTTTTTCCACGTCTGTGCAAAAAGTCCTTCGTTAAATAAATTGCCAGTTGCGCTCGCTACCAAATTTTTTCAAGCTCTAACGGTTTTTAATCGGCAAATACGGTGCACAACCCCTCAGCCTCATGTTCATGCTTGGAGGAGTGCGATCTAATAGTTAGCCGTTCATTAGCGATGTACCAATTCTCCCCCCCCGCCCTCCACCACCTCCCCCCATCCTCCAACACCCGCCCCCACCCCCCGGCCTGCCCCCCCCCCCGCCACCGGCTATTCGATTCATCATCACGATTAAAATGAAGAATCAATTCGCTTGTCAAACATTGCGGTGGGTATTGCAATCTCTTAGCGGCTGCATTGTCCACTTGAACCCCATTGTCTCGTGAGCTACTGGGTGAATGCCTCCCGCCACGCTGTGCCGTTCATGAGGGTGTGTTTGACCATACTTCACCATGCTGGCCAGTGGTTGGTAAAGTTGGGGGGGTGGGGGGGGGCACCCAGGAGCGGTTGAGATATCACTCGAGACCAATGTTAGCTGTAGTTAGGAATCAAACTCATGTGGCTTGTTTTAAATGTAGTGCGCTAATATCTTTGTCACCACTACCCCTGCCTCCCCTCCATGCACGTATAGATTTATTCTTCTTACACATGCTATTTGATGCACGTGTCCTTAGCATATGAATCAATATTAATCAATACATCGATGCGTCGTTAAGTCCCAGTTGTTAATTGATACTAACTGCATGGACACTGCGAGTAGTAGTTCAGTGGTATCCCCTTCTGGTTTGTTCCCTAATGTGCGGTGGGTATTTGTTGTGGTGCGCGGAGGGTCACACAAATTGAGAGAATCGCTTTGTCCTTGACATCAAAAAATGTGATTTGGATGAAGTGAAGGCTAAACGCACACACACAACGCTGTATTACATAACATATCAAGAATGTGCTGCGAGTTATGGATAAATAGACCTGCCAAACAACTCGGCAGACAAACTTTTACTTAGAACAAACCCCCCGCCACCCCCATCGAAGTACTGTAGAATTCTTATAATTTGGCATTGCTTCAATTGTTATGCTCAGTGATCCTCACTTGTGAGGATCGATTATTACGTATCGTTTACGCAAATTGTCATGAAGCGATATTCTATCGGTAAGTTTAGGTGGCGGACAGTCATACACAAGCGAGACGGATCAAAGCGAGAAACAATGCAAATGGGATGGCAAAAAAGGAGACGGGAATTTATTTTCGAATTGAATCGCGACTCCTGAGTCATGCCAATTCATCGCATCGCTAGGGCGTGTGTGGATTGTCACGTGCCGAGTTAATCCCGTCAAGTGAAAGCGATGTCCTGTTCAAATGAGCATTGAGCCAGTGCTCGACTCCTGTTTACAGCCCTGAGCCAGTGGTGGAAATTCCACGTTCCTTTGGCGAGGCCGAGTTTGCTTCCCCAAAGGACAAATCGCATCACGGTTGGTGGAAGTTGGTTGCTATGTTTACGCAAACAAGTTTTTTTACTTGACGCCTTCTCCACGTTTAAATCCGCAGTAAAACGTGCATACGACGTTGCACACCATGGGTAAGAGGCCGCCTGTAATCACCGCGTTGCGTAGAGTCATCGCTGTTTTCAAAATGGGCCCTCTGTGAGATCGATGGGCGCCGCTGTGCCGCTGTTTGTGGAGCCGCGTGACCTCTCGGATAGCTCGCCGCTGCGTGCGTGTCTCCGTGCGTGTCTCCGTGCGTGTCTCCGTGCGTGTCTCCGTGCGTGTCTCCGTGCGTGTCCCCGTGGCACGCGTGCTGTTTGGGCAGGATGTAATAAACATGATGGCCTACAAGGGTTTGCCCTCTGTCCTTGCTGGCTTCCTTGGGACCAGCCCAGCAGAAGAAATTAATTTTCAGGGGTCACGTGCCTGGAGTATTTTGGTTTATTTATGGCTCTTTTTATTGACTATTCATTTAGCAATACGGCATTCCAAGTCGGTTTTTATGGGTTTTTTTTCTTTATACGAGTACAATATATGCATATTTGAATTGTTAATTAAATCAAGATTGTGACGTTGCGACGCGAAAAGGATTTTACTAAACATGCTCAAATTCATAATCAACGTTTTTGGGTTTAGATCGCGTTATTTATAAATGTGTCGTAACCCTCCACCACCCGACATGGCCAATCAGTAAAAAAGTGTCACGTTGACAAAAGACAAATAGTTCACTGCTTTAGCCCACCGGTGTGTTGAAGTGTGAAACCACAACATTTACAATTTAAGTACGACGTTTCGCTGGTAATTGCATCCAGCATCATCGGGAAATTCGCCAGAATGGTGAGGCTCTGCTGTGTCTCCCGTTCTTATATAGAGCAGCAGCAGGGTGACGTCATCATTAACTCATGCTCAAATTGTCAACTGCTGCCCTCCGATTAGCACGTTTGGCTACGTACGATACGAAATAAGTTCCACATACATACATACAATGTCAACAAAATGCAATTCATATTTGGTATCAGGTGGCCTGTTGAAGGCAGCACATGAAGCAGGATGTTGTCCTATTTAGTACGCGCAGGCAGTGTGATTGTTTCTCAGTGGGTGCTATTATCTCTATTTTGAGAGTGTTCTTTTTGAACGCTCTAAATGGATACTTGTACCAAGTTGTTGTGAAGTCTTCAGTCGGTCACCCAGAATACATTCAGTTGCAGCAGTGTGCTGGCACATGCGATTGGAAGGTTGCGAGTTCAACTCCCGGTTGGGGTGTTGGCTCAACCCATAAACCCTTCCAAGGTCGATAAACTAGGACCAAATCCCACGCAAGTCAACAATGGTTGTCTGATGCCTAAATTTGCCTCCGCCATAGGAATGTGGAATTTCCACCACTAATGGAGGGCTGTAAACTGGTGACGAGCACCTCCTCTAATGCTCATTTTGGGCAGGAGATTACTTTCGAGTTTAACTGTTTTTAATAAACATTCGGTTACGATAATTTATACACGTGTCCCACTTATTTATACATTCCGACAGACCTTCAAATGGATGAATAAGACTAATACGTGGACATGATGTCTTTGTAAAAGCTATGAGCTAGCTGCCGCGGATGAAAGTTAAGCTTCTATCTCTTATAATTCTCACATTTGCACACTGCCGGTTCAGTCCGATTATCCACATAAAAGCATTAAAGCGTGATAATGTAATGTGCAATTATGCAAAAGCGTAGGACAATGCCTTTCTCAAATAAGTCATTTTTGAAATAATCCATTTGTTTTTAGCTGAATGGTTCAAACACCCGAGGCATTAATAACGTTGAGCTCCCTGTTGTTTTGTCCCGCCTTGCCAAAGCAGATATGAAAAATTAAAATGAAATTTTTTTGCCTTAAAAAAAAATCTTATCCTCTTGGCATTACCTGTGCCAAAATTAAACCTAAACCTAGAGAGTGCGGGGTAGCGTGCGCTGGGCTGTCGTTAGCATTATTAATCAATTCTGTTTGCACAGGGTCCCTGTCTGTACTTACTGTTTAGCCGCTGTGGCGATTAACAAACAAGCGGAGGACTGTGGCAGGGAGATGAGTGTGACAAAGTCATTGGAACAACTCTGCAATCTGGCTGCCGTGCAGCCTCTCTGGCAGACATACCACTTTACAATATGAGATTTTCATCTTCAGTATCCCCCCCCCCCTTGCCCCCCCTCTCTTTGTTTCCCTTTTCATATATTCTCCCTTCGACCTCCGAGATCTCTATGCCTGAGCAACATTCCATTACCTGCTCCTGTTTGCTTTGTGTTCCCCCCAGCTACTCTGGCCTTTACGATTTCCCTCCCCACCCACCCTTGTCCCCCTTCCCCCCTCACCTTGGATGTGGTGTTTCGTGTACCTTCGCCCTGTGGCCGGGCGGTTTGCACCATTGACGTCAAGGAGCTGATTTCATAAAACCCATCAAACATTCTGGACTATGATGCAACCGTTAGCGACGGGCTTAAACGCAAAGGCAGGGCTATGAGAGGAGAGCGAGCGTGCGCAGCCGAACCTGTGTTGAATGAACGCAGCGGGTTTTTTCTCTCCCCAAAGACAGAGATCCCCAGTATAGCCTTAACAGACTGTTGTGGCAAGTGCTGTTAGCGAGCACCTATGAAGGCCGGCACGGCACACAAGGGGGTGGGTGGCCAACACCATGCCCGGCCGCCTTTGTCTCCCGAGCGGCAATGTTTGCACACCGCACCAGGTACTCATTTGAGGCTGAGTCGACCCAGGGGAGGCCCAGGACCGGTTCAGATATTGGTTGCAATATTTAGAACGACAGTCTTTATCTTCTTATACTGTCCTGATGGTCCGTTAGTACAACCTCGCCTTCAATCGCTTGGTAGTAAACCTGTTGGGTAATGACTCTTTTTTGTTTTCCAATTCCGTAGATTTATACGGGAATGCAAGATTGCGATGCTAATTGGTTATTTGGGCCCTCGTGTGGTGGATGCTTTTACCGTTCAAATTTTGGTCTTCGTGGAATTGTCTGCTGGTGCCATCTCCATTCTGTTTACATAGCAGAACTCTCTCAAATTGTTTGTGTCATTTCACAAATAATCAATGTGGCGTGATATGCTCCACAATCAAATTAATATGTCATAGCCCTAACCAGATTGAAAGCAGTCCCGTGCTACTGAAATAGTTTTGTATTAATTGTTGATTTTAATTCGTTTGTATTGAAGTGGAAGTTATTAGAATATTATTCAATTGAAGACTGACCTCTAAGCTGGACGCAGCAATTACATTTTGAGGAGAGTGAACAATATTAGATTACTTTTGTTTTTTTATAATGATGTGCTTCTTGTTGATTTTTTTTCTCTCCAAGATTAAAACAGACGCCTCCCTTGCGCAATCGAGCGCTCATCTTTGTTGGCGAGGCTTGCATCCTCCAGAGCAGAGCCACTGTTTACTTGGCACAAATTGGTGCTAATTTTATCAACCCCAGAAGGATCATGGGACAAGTCATCTTCCAACTATGATTAAACCCAGTTTTGGAGCCAAGCAATCCGCTATGGTGCCAATCAGCCGGATTTAATTAAATGTGTTCGAAACAGTTTAATGGCGACATTTCAAAGCGCTATTTTCTATAAAATGTATCTGCTACCACTCGGGAACACTAACACAGATTTATGGAGTTGTTCCCTGTCAAAAACGTTGCCTGCATATTGCAGACTGAGCACCCACCAAAGCCCGCATCCATTGAGAGGGCTGAGCTTGCCAGAGGAAAGTGTGCGGCAGATGGTGATGAGATACAATGAATAGAAACCTCATTATTTGGACAATACCTCCGCTTTGTGGATTAGTATAAGTCTGCAGCAAGTGCACTGTGGTGTCGGCAAACTTGTACATGTGGTCCTGATGACCCCGAGTGCACACAGTGTATGACCGGTAATCTTTTAATCAGAGATCTGGAAGGCAAATGTTTTGTTTCCGTGATTATCATCATGTCCTTTACTGAAGCACGGGAGTGCTCGTTGAGAGTCAATATGTATGTCTTGTTTACCAGACTTGCTGTCGGAGTCGCCGGGTCCGAGAGAGTTATATTATTTATTCCTACAATTAATGTTTTAATGCGTTATCGTCAGGTCCGGCTATGATTAATGTATGTGACAAATTGTGTTTGTGCGTGTTTTTCGGTATAATTTTTCATACTTGGTTGTATTTGTAATTATCAATTTATTTTGTTGTTACAGTTGAACGGCCACATGCAGATGATAGGACTATGCAATTCTTCAGACGTGAACCAGTACGTATGCAAGCACGGTTAATCATAATCAAAATAGCGGCACATTTTTAAAATTGGTTGCACACACATTACAATAAAGTGGAGAGGAAAATAATATCGAGTTGGTGTACATCCCGAAATGTCCTTTGACATTGTAGTTTTATGATTAAGTTTATCCAACAATAGTTTTTGTCCAAGATGCAGCCCTGTAATGTCTTGCTCGCACGCCTGCTGGCGAGAAGTGCCTCCACTAGACGGTATTTGGCCTACTCTTCCACACTGGCGAGGCATTTTTGAACATGTGAGAGTACATACACTTTATCCCACCACACCTGATCTGGCCCATCAGCTAACTGTGGTGAACCCATTTATACTCCTGGGTGGACAGAGTGGTGGGCAATGTAGGTGGGGGCGTTTGAATGAACTTGACAATTTTTTTTTTACTTTCTGCATTGGGAGATCTAACCTGTTTGCTTGTTTGATTTATGCACACACATCGTCCGTAATTGTTGCAGAAAACCGAACATCATGAAACAGAAAAATGCGTTCCCGCCAAACTTCATCCACTCGCTGGACTCCACACACATGATGCTGACGGCCCTTTACTGCTACAGGTGCGTCGTGGGTTAAAATACCAGCAGAGAGAGAGAGCGCATTTCCCTTAAGTGTTTCCAGAGCACTCACTCAAACCTCCTGAAACATCCAAGAGTCACAGGAAAAGGTTCAAACACATTATACGTAAGCTTGCGGACCCATCGGCCCAGTGGTATGAAATTGCGGCAGTGCCGTGCACTGCATTGTGTTTAAAAGTGCGGCTTAGCAAAGGAGATGTTATGAAGCTGGCAAACTTATTCTTGAAAGTGCCACAAATCATCCCTGCAGACAACCTGTGTTTGTGCATCTGTATGTATGTTTGTGTGGGAAGTGATGGTGTAGCGGTTAGCGTGCTGTGCTATGAACCTGGCGACCCAAGTTCGATTCCCGCTCACGGTCAACACCAGTGACGATTATCTGAATCTGTCCTGGGCCTCCCCTAGGTTGGCTCAGCCTCAAATAAGTACTTGGTGCGGTGTGTAAACATCGCCACTCGGGAGACAAAGGCGGCTGGGCAGTGGTGCTGGCCACCCACCCTCTCGTGTTCCGTGCCGGCCTTCATAGGTGCTGCTACTCGCTAACAGCACTTGCCCCAACAGACTGTTAAGGCTATACGGGGATCTTTGTCTTCGATTTTTTTTTGCTCGTAATCACGGTTGCTGAGCACAAGGGCCCAAGGGCCAAAAACATTAAGCGACCAGCAACAAACGGCATTGTTGAAGTTGTAATGGATAAGAGTTGATAGGTTTCTGGAATTGAGCAATCTGATACGAATTTGGAATGGAGTTCCAAAAGTTGAGCAATGTGAGGGAAGAAGCGGAGAACGAGAAGGTGTTGTGACCTCCAGTGTCTGGTGGTTGAACACAGTACGGATTAGACGTGAACGTGTGGATGGCTGTGTATGAAGAGTGGAGATTTAGAGGTCCGTGCAGTGCACGCTGATCTCAACTATAACCCGAGTTCCATTCCTGGCCATCCATAAAATCGGTGGCTATTTCTCGCACCTTCGATTAGCATGGTTGGCTCCGTGCGGTGCGATAGAAGTTCAACATACATCCATGCAATCTGCGTCTGATTTGAGCCTTCCGTTGGTCAATTTAGCCTCAAATCAAAACCAGCATTGCGGAGACAGCAGTGGATTGGCATGGTTATAGCCCGCACCACCAGATGTCATGCTGTGTCGGCGACAATAAAAATTAACCCGTGAAAACAAAGTTTTTCACTATAAATCCTTTATATGCGTGGCATCGGTTTTATTTTATTATTCATTTCTGTTTTTCTTGAGTAAGAGTTTCATTTTTATCACATTGGTATTTTAAATTAAATATGAAATTATTTTTTTCCTAAAAAGTGGAAAATTTCGGAAAAAAATTTTCACGAAAATAAATTGTCACGCACAACGAGTCTGTGTGCAAAATGTCACGGGAAGTGGGTTAAAAAACGAGCGAAAGATTTGCACTGGTCGTAAGTGCGCAAGCAAGCAAGTGAACTTAATATAAAGGATCTAAAAAGGTGTTTGTTAATTGTCCATGCGCTGACACTGTAAAGACTAAACGTGAGATAAAATAACAAGTTAGTGGAAAATATTATTGCTTTCTTTGACTGCGGTTCCAAAGAAGGAAAGGTCTCAACAGCGTTTGACATCTGGCCTTCGTTTAGGGGAAATATTTATTTTCTTCTGTATTGGCAATATGTTCAGGAGCTATAAATGCCAATGTTGAGATTTCCCAGCCACGAAAGGGCTTCAGGAGAGAGTTCAACTTGTCGTTCCTCCCTTGGAGGAGTGCAGACTTAGTGGTTTACGATGTAGTCCATTGCATAGGGAATACTGAGGCTTACAGAAGGAGAGCGCTAAGTAGTCGTAGTGGGTGAGATTTTGTTCGCAGAGATGTCAGATGTATGTATGTTGAACTTCTTTCGCACTGTGCGTAGCCAAGCGTGCTTATCAGAGGTGCGGTGAAGGACAAAAAAACCTAAACACAAAAATAATTTCTAAAGAAATGAAACTGACTGTGGTGCAATGAGTCGATTGCAACCAAGTAATTCCATCTTCACAATCCATCTTCTGACATCTCTGACCAACAGATCTCACCTTCCAGGACAGCATCTCTGTAAAACCTCAACATATTTCAGCAAGGCCAGCCAGCCAAAACTTTAAGATCTTCTTCTCCTCTCGATGTCGGTGCGAACAAAAATGAACGGCTGACATTTTTATTTAACCCGCTATTTTACGAATGACTTCAAGGCAGCAGCAACTGAATGAATAAAACGTGAGATGTGCGTCTCATGCGTTGCGTGTCTCTTGTGCACGCGTTTATTGATCCGCGTGGCCTCTGCAGGGAGGGCTTATCTTTTGCCTCTGTCCACGACTGCTTCTGGACACACGCTGCCACAGTGGATATCATGAACAGGGTAAGAGCACAGCCACGTGATCACCCAGCGGGGTAGAGTGTAGCGCACGGAGCGCCCTTTCTGCAGGCCTCACCTCGTCGGCTTGCGCGAATCACCCCGGCGAGTAGACCGCCGGGGAACCCGCTGTTCCCAGAAACAATTTCACTTGTGCGTGTCTGGGCGAACGAGATGTGCTCGTATTATATTTCTCAAGGTGCCTCTAACCGCACGGCGCAGAATGGACATTAAAACAACAATTGGGGGGCTGGGGGGGTATAAATATTCCTGCGGAATAACACATTAAAATTCATGATCGGCGAACAGATTTAGCGGTAATGAATGGAATGCAAAGTAAGGGAATCAAGATGTATGTATTCTTCTCGGAATCTGAGAGAATACACAAAAGGGCACTGGTGTGTCCCGATCGAATGGAAATCAGGAAAAATCGTACGATCGCGATGTGGCAGGGTTCCCAGCAGGTGAAGGGTGCACTTGTTCCCCTTCCGCCCCCCCCCCAGCCCCCGCACCCCCAACCACCACCACCACCAGCGCCCCACGTGCAGAACCTTGTGTTGACTTTCATTCGCTCGCTCGCGTGCGTGCGTGTGCTGTAGGTGTGCCGTGAGCAATTTGTGGCGCTGCACAGTCAACCCATCCTGGAGGATCTGTCCTCTTTCCTCATCAGCAAGTACAGCGTCTTTGCCCCGTGAGTCTCAGGGGTGCTGCTCGATGCCCCCCCCCCCTCCTACTCCCCCGCCACAGGCCTGCCGCCCCGCTGTTCCCACACCTTGGGGCGATCGTGCCCGTCTGTATCTAACAGGCTTCTCCGTGCGGTGTTCTGTTGACGTGCCTTGACATGTCACCGGAGGTATAATGATAGGGTGTTTCATTTTCACCTAGTTCTTTGGGACACTGGGTTCAAAACATCGCATAAGGGATGTGTACTTTGAGATCTGTAACAGCAGCCAGAAAAGAGGGGAAAAAGATAACTTTCATCCCTTATGCGGATGTACTATTTTTTGTTGGAAGTGTTACGATGCGTTGCTTGTACGTCCAGATTTTCAGGAAATTTTCTTTGAAATGCTGATATTCAAATGCGATGTAAATTTCAGAATGTGATTGTGATGATTTATCGTTGCGTGTTTTTTTTCACATTCGGTTTGTCACAAGGCACGTTCGTATTCTTTTCCCGACCCCCACACCTCCTCTGCTTTAGGGCGAGCCGGAGAAAAAAGGCATCTGCAGAGTTCAAACATCTGATGGATTTTCTGACGATGATCCCTCAAAAGGGTACGCAATTTGCACATCCGTCCGCATTTGCATAGCATGTGCAAATGAACATTTCAATGCATTTGACTACGTTCACATTGTAATCACAAATCAAAAAGATAATTGAAGCTGAAAATTTCCTGTGACTTTGATGTTTGCCACGTCAAGTTCCCGATATAATTTTTGTTGTTGTTGCATTTCAGAAGAAAAGTTGCAAATGAATCGGAACACAATTGTTTACTGAGATTGTAAATGTTGTGGATTTGCTCTCCAACGCACCGGGGTGCTGTACTAGTAACGCATTGGCATGTCCTGTTTACGTGACAAACCTTACTAATTGCCTATCGGGGTTAACACCTTTATATTTACGCGATCTAACCCAAAAATACCTGTATTGTGCATGATATTGGTCGCTAAAGCCTACGTGATAAACTGCTGCATTGCATTCCACGCTTCGCTTGCTTGTTTTACCCCACGCTGCACGCTGTGGCATCTGACCAAATAAAGTTTTAAAGAAAACGTTGAACATTTTACGTGATTAAACGGGGTTTATATTTTTGTTTAAACGCTGCAAGAAGCTCGGCAGCATCGTGTCGATTTTGACGACACAACGCTAAGGCATAGAATAAAATAAAAGGCTCAATGCAGACTCGTACAATGATGGACTCGCGAATACGGCGGCGCAACGAATTCCGTTTTGACCGTCAGAAAGGTCGACGCTTATCTTGTCTTTAATACGCGGCCTTTTTGATCGTTAAGCGCCAATTTTGTGCATCTCGCGCGTCACACCGCTGCAGGGGCGCTTTGTTGGGCGGCCAAAAAGGAACTAAAAAATGCGGTGAGATTAGATGCCGGGGACTCGCTGTCATTCGCTGGAGAGGCTCGCTGATCAACCGTCCGCCTAATCAGATAGCGTGCCTGGGCAGAAACCGGTTTATCAGAGTCACATCCGATGCACTGGGTTGTCGAGATGGATAACAAAAAGGGGACATCTAAATGGCAATCTTTGGAGCAATCATAATGTATGGTTTCGATAACTGCACATGCCCACTGTTGGTTCTTCATGGTATGTAGGTATGCCATGTAATTATATCAATTTATAACCATTTATCTTTGTCCTTTATTGCTATGTACAGCAGAATATAATGACCAGTTAAAAAAAAACGTTTTCAAATCAACAGTCCTTTGTATTTGCGAGGAATATGACTTGTGGACTTGCGGCTGATTTTCCGCATTATTGGTCTCCTTGTGTGTTGACTTGGTGGAATGCTTTGAATGCCTTCAGCCGGTGGGTGTTTTTGTGTTTTGCAGGCGAGTTCAACCTGGAGGAAGTGCGAAACTCAACTTATTTTTTTAGCTGAAGTGACCCCCGAGGACTTCTAGAGGGCAAAACGAATCCTCCCCCTCCCTCTCCACGGCTGGACCCTGGTGTGAGCTGGCTCGTGATCCCACCTGGCAAGGTGTAGTCCTTGAGGAACGTCATCATAACCAGGATGGGGGGGGGGGGCTGCCGTTTCGGCAGATGGATTTCACATCCGAGCGGCTGTGCCTTTATTCGAATATATTTAAACGACTTTTTTTTTGCTAATTTTTTTTATTGTGGGACAATAGAAGAAGTTCGAAGATGATACTCTTAGGTTTTTTCTGTAAAGTCACGTAGGAAAAAAATAATTAATTGATGTATTATTATTATGATTTATCAATTGATTTAATTGCTTTATTTTCATTTATTAGGATTTTATTTTATTATTTTTTACCTACATGACTTTACCGAAAAAAACCTAAGAGTATGAATCCTTGCAGTCACGAAAGCTTCAAATCCGAAGATGATGTTTCATGTCTGAGCTCTTAAGCCTTTTTTTTCTGGCTGATGCTTTTGGCAATTACAAATGCTCAATAATAAATGCCGGGGCCATTCATTTTGGATCCTGGCTTATTCATCTCTCGGCTCATTTAGCCTGTGATTGATATCAGGTGTGCGTCGTTCTGTCTGCGCAGACAAACGAGAAGGCTTCACTCAACGCAGGTAAACACGGTCGTCGGTGACCAATTCATGTCTCCTGCAGGTTTCGGTGGATCAATAAATATTTGGCTCAAGCAACTTCTTGCCCTGGGTAGTTTATTGGGGTGGTGAAGTATTTATTTTTGTCTTCTTGAATTCATAGTCCTATCAATTTTCTAAATACATTGTCAAACAAACGGAAAAAAAACCCCGTGAAATATTTAATTTTTCCTGCCTAAGTGGAAATCAATGCTTTGGCCAAGAGACCTTTTCGGATCGATGAATCATCACGACAATGTTGCATCAAGGTCATCATGTCGTGGCTTCACACCCATTGGTGGTCATTGGCACACCAAAGCCAGATGTTGATTGACATGTTGTCCTGAAGCTTCACTGAGGCAATGTTATTAAAACCATTCATACTTACAAATGGTCCACCTGTAAGTGGTTTCAAAAAAGCAATTGTCATTTCTGCAAAGCCAATAAATGGACATATTAAAGTCTTTTTGGTTGTATTAATTGACTTTCTGAAGCTGCAATAATTTGCTGCATATTCAAATGTGCATTTGTGTGTGTATGTTATTTATACTCATGTTCTCTCTTTTAGAATATGTAAATACATGACTATGTTTTATATTGAATTGTACATAATGCTGTACCATTGGTTTTATACAATGCATTGTCTTGGTAGCAATCGCAAAGATATTACTTTATCAACGCATTACCAGTTTACTTGCATTTGCCATGGAAGGTGACCTTGCTTGGTGTGTCGCGGTGGAAGTCTGCTGTCAGAGACGAATTGTAACGAGAGCGATAGTTGTGGCAAATTTTCTGTAATTTCGTGACGCCTGCCAAGGAAGCCGATCCTAATCCCGGCATGCATTGCCACGATGCCACAGGAAGCCTTCACTGCTTCAAGTTGTCGACCACACGAACTAATTTGTGCGCTGCTTGTACAGAGAATCGTCTATGCACTGAATAAAGTACCAACATTGTTTTATACAAATGTTTGATTTGAGCAACTGTGTGATATATTACCACTTTGCACCATTAAATTAACTCGACGATTGGATAAGATTATTGTGCGTATTACAGTTTGTCATTTCTTTATATACGCCGCATTAAATATTTTTTTACCGGTTTTATCCTTGCATAAAATATTACACGCCTGCCTTGCACACAGCTTCACAGTACTAACAAATAATATATCGGTACACTAAAATTTATGCCACATAATTTTTTATCATTTTAGTTTCGGTCGTTTCTCATTTTTTGGGGATACATAGTCTCGGCATTTTTTCCACTCGTAAGTTTAAGTGCATCGTTGCGATTGCTTTTCACGAGATCATTTGAGGTGTGAAGGACATTTAAAGGGACATCGCCACGTGTGAAGTGGCACTAACTCTGACAAGTGGCCGTGTGGTGTAAAACTAAGGGTCAGTACTTGCATGGCAACTCGGATTTAAATAGCACTCAAGTACACGGGTAACACAGGTCTCAGAGATGTCCATGTATTGAGTCAAATTACGATTATAGCAGCGGTTTGTTCAGCAATTGAAGCGTCCTTGTTTCATAATCTGATCGGCAGACGCGGTCTAAGACCTGTTCGCAGAATGATTTTTCTCGTTAATGTGATTTAATGCACTTCCGTCCGTTATTCACTTTTCCGTGGGCTGTTTAAATATTTAATCCAATTTGGGGAGAAAACCCCCCTTGGCTAGAGCACTGGCTCTGGTAACATTTCATTTCCCCATTGTAAAGTCTCTTATATGCTTACCTGCCATAATTAAAGAAAACTGTGGGGGGTGGGGGGGGGGGTCTGATAGACATGTGTGCAACACTTTCTAATGTATTTATGTCTGTTCTCTGTGGCTTTGCTGCATTGTACTTGAGCACACAGAAAGCGTTAAGTGCAGCTCATTACTGAGGGCAGTAACTTGTAGAGTACAACATGGGATGCTTTTTGATTACATGCATTTAACCATGGACTAGACATGTCAAAACGTATTTATTTTTACCTAAAATACTTCTTGCCGACTAATGTCACGACAGATTGATTAAATCCGACCCTTTTGAGGTCAAAGAGTTTCAACTCCTGATAATGATTTGAACTTGTAATGCTCAGCTCAGTTTTCACTCGCTCTTGGGGAGAGAGAACGATTCGGATGCAGGGGGGGGACGGGGGGGACCACTAAGTAGGAAGACGGCAGCCAGTCGCTACCAACAATTGTCCAAGCTCTAGCCCCTCTATATATGTTAAGATGTTTTCAGCCAATGAATGGAGTATTATCATGCGGTTTGAAACCGGAGCGCCCGGATAAAAAAAAACACGCGTGCAAGAGCACAACACTCTATCTTATACAGAGGGAACAGATGGAGATTATTCCACATTTTGCACGACCGCCTTCACTTGGTTAAGCCGGGTTGTGGCACCTTGACACCCCACCCACCGTCGCCTCCACAGTGCTGGATTAGAGGCGTGCGCACACCAACCGCACGGTTCATGTCTTTGTAGGAACAACGAGCAATCAGTCGACTACTGGACACCTTTGAACGGTCACGTGGAATAGGAATTGTTGAAAGGGTTGCTATTGTGATGGGGAAGCTTGCCGAATGACCTATCCGTGGCGTTTCGTGCACAAAGTAATCGTTGGCAATTAAGAGAGGGCGCTTAACAGAGGTGGGGGGTGGGCGCGTGAAGGTTGCCACCCCCTCCCCCCGCCCTAAAAATGTAGCTCATCCTCAAGAAGCCATCAATAAATAGTAATATTTCCAATGCGTGTATATATACTTTATATAGCAAACCAGCGAAATTATCGACTGAAAAGTTAGTAAATTGATGCCCTCCCCCACCCACCCACCCAAATTCCATTTTGGGCATTTCTTAAGAAAAATTGGTTTAGCGGCGTCGCGATTGCACGGACGCTAATTCATTTTTATTGGCAAGTGCAACAGCGATGCAAGTCATAGGGATAATACACTAAAAACGTGAACTCTCGCGTTTAAGAAGTCACCACGGTGTTGCTACGTGCCCCACATGCACAAAGGGGGCCGCCGCGGCTCGGGTTTCATCGTATTCGTGGCAGCAGCGACTGGCCAGCGTCTCTTTAATCATCCTGCCTCTGGCTGGCGCAAGCGGGTACCCAAGATGATCGCGCACGACCAACACGCTCGACCCCCCACTCCGCCCCCGAGTTCGCCGTGCCAGTGGACGGATGAACATTGCAGACACCCAATTTGGCTTCCGTTGAGGCTTTTGTTGAAGACCACGTGGGCAAATTCTGCTGACACTTCCCGCGGGGGGCAGCGCGCGGCGCGTGCGTGGTCCAGATAGAGGGGGGGCAGCTTCTCGGTGTCTCACAATAGCGGCCCTCTCTGCGCTCACGGGTCCCAGGGAGGGGGGGGGACATCCGCGTCGCGAGCCTAAATAACAACAACAACAACAACACTTTGCTCTTGTTTGCTTAACCAAATTGGCAGAGTTAATGAGGGCGGGTTTTTTTTGCCTCGAAACGTCTCGGACTTTTAATTGCGTTCTTGTCTTTGTTTTGTTTTAATTTGTGGCCAGTGATGCACGTAAAGGGTGATGCGGCGGTGGAGTTGCTGTGAGCGAACTGTCCTCTGAACCCGCCCATCCGAGTTCGATTCCCGGCCACGGCGAACGCCACTGACGAGAGTCATCCGAATGGTTCTTACCCCCCCCACACACACCGCCCACTTTCACCAACCCGCGCTAACCAGCGTGGTGAAGTATGGCCAAACAGCGTCCAAAATCGACATTCGGCAGTGGCGCTCATCCAGCAGTGAAATTGGCAAAATGGCCTGTGACTATAATTGGTGGAGTCTGGCAATGATTCAATTATCATCGTTGCCGTAAGTGACATTTAATTGTGTTTACAATAGATTGTATGCAGACCCAGTGGCGTTTTGTTAAATAGTTGAGAGTGAGATCCACAAAGTGATTGCACTGTGTTTGTACATGCCATGCCAGCGGTGATAAAATAAATTAGTCTTCCGTGGTCAGGGAGAAGACATTTGGGAGGCCGGTCTGGCGCTGAGCATACATTGTGACTGGTGCCGCATCACACACACACGGTTGGGCACTTGCGTGGTCTGTCCTGTTTCACTCCGGTGTGTGTGTTTTTGGAAGTATACCGCGTGTCATTCAGCATGGATGTCCGACGTTTCAGTCCGGAGCTTCTTGAGTAACTGAACTACTTCAGCAGCAGCAACAGCATCATCCTTATTCTTTGGGTCTTTCGGTAAAGCCACGTAGATAGAAAAAAGAATAGACATATCACGACGTTTCGATCGCAACGCAAGAAATCGTCATCAGGTGAATTATTTTTCACCTGATGACAATTGCTTGCGGTTTTTTCACCTGATGACGATTGCTATCGTTGCAATCGAAACGTTGTGATAATTTGATTATTTTTTCTATCTACGTGGCTTCACCGAAAGACCCAAAGCATATGAATTCCTGCAGTCACGAAAGCTGTAAATCAAGCATCATCCTTGTCCACGAAGACAAATTCTCATTTGGTCGAAAGAGGCTCCACACAGCACGTGGATCGAAGAACGGGTTAGACAAGAAATCACGCCGAACCACACTCGGTAACAACCCCCCAGGATTCACGCCATCGGAGACCTAAAAACACACGCACGCACACGTCCAGCACAGCAAAAAGACCCACACGGCGTGCGGGAACAGCGCGGCGTGAGCGCCGGGGATTGAAAGACGCGAAGCACGCAGCGGTCCCGGGGACGTGATGAGGAATCAGTGGGTTATCTGAGCTTGGGCAAGAATGTTTTAATTAAACCCTCCCCACCAGAGTGGACACCCACGCGTTTCGTGGGAGGCGAGCAGGTGGACGAGACAAAAGCCGCGCTGGTAAAAGAGGCGCGCGGGGCATATTCGTGCGACGAAGAGATTAGTGAGAGTGCTCTGCGGAGGGCAGGAGAGGCTTTAGTTTAAGGGGCCGCTTTGGAGGGGTCTCGGGCAAAGGTGACCTGCCGTGCCGGGGTGGGGCGCGGGGTGGCTTGATTAATGTGTACGTGCAGGCTCGCGTGCGTGAGAGTGCTTTTCCCATTCATGCCGGGAGTGGGGGTTTTTTTTTCCCTTCCATATCGGTGGCGAGAAAACCTCCGGGTTCGGTGTCAATGAGCGCAGCGCTTACCCTGCCGTTGTCTGGTTTTTGGTTCGTGAAAAGCGCCCGTTACTCTAATGCAGAGATTGCCCCTTACCGAGTCGCACCCAATGCAAATCGACGTTTAAAAAAAAAAAACGCGCGCGTGAACTCGCCGCTGTGCGGGCCACTTGTTGAAGTGCGTCCCCTGTGTTTCCCCGCAGCTCACGGGGCACTTTTTCCCATCGAACCCGAAACCACAATCGCCGGCTAAGCCGACACGTGGGCACGGGCTGTCCTTCGCGCGAGGTTTGGAAGACCCCAATAGTTTCAAAGGTGAATCTATTGGGACGAAAAACACTGCAGAAATCAATGTGTATTGAATGATGGAAGAGCAAAGTACACCCTGAATGCCCCTTTCGCTGATTGCGAGATAGGTCCTGATTTTTAGATAAAGCCTCGTTGATTGCACGATGCCGTTTCTCCGAGCCTCTTCTCTGCAAGCTGATAACTGGTTCATCGTTTGTTCGAGGTCTCGCTTGGTATGTGTTCATCCGCAGAGCGTGGTGAACACGAGGAATGTTGACGGTGGGTTTCGGGTTTCACGGTGAAGCTTCTTGCCTTATTAATTTGGTCATATTCATCATCTTCAGCCATCCATGCTCTAACAACTGCTGGATGAAGGCCTCCCCAAGCCATTGCTGTCCTTCGCAGTCTCACAATACAACAGCAGGGATCCTGCGCACAGGACACTCTCATTGCTCCATCTTCACGGCCGGACCGTCCTCTTGGGTGTATTTTCTCCCTTGGCTGCCACTCTGTTGTAAATATTCACCACCTGTTTGGAGAAAGAGCCAACGCATAAGATCCCCGAGTTTGATCCTCCACGAAGTTCATGGTCCACCCAAAACCGCATCCGCACAAACCATGGCAGATGC